AATATCCGGTGAAAACCAGCATGACACAGGGGTCCAAGTTTAAGATTCTTGCGGAAGCGGTTGGACAGGGAGCTCATTGGTCTGACTATGTAGTCAATTATGATAAGCCTCTTTCTAATGAATGGGTCTCTTGGATTGATGGACCCTTCTTTAAGGCTTGATGAGTTCAGTGACTGTATACCCTGCTTATTACTGGTTTAGATAACTGAAAAGTAAAGGGGCCGGAGGGATCGCTGATGTTGCACTCCTCCTGGGCGTCCATGGAATGAGAGGCAGCACCTTAAATAAGTTCAGTGGCTGTACAACCTGCTACATGAAATAATTCAATATATTTCGTAAAGGGGCCCGAAGGATGGCGGATGTCAGGCTCCTCTTTGGCTTCCATCTCAAAGGCGGCACCTTCATTCAGTGGCTGTAAACCCTGCAGAGTTACTCTATTCTTCAAATGCAAGGGGCCAGAAGGATCGCGGATGTTGGACTCCCCATTAGCTTTCGTCCGGATCCCATCAGCGGCAGGACCTTATTTTAAGTTTCATGGCGAGAAGCTCTGTAGACAGCTAATTTATCATTCTAATTACGGGGCCTGTTGCACCACTGGCGCTGGACTCCTCCTTGTCCGGATCCATATCACTCACGGCACCTCGGATGACTTCACTGCAATCTAGCAACGAGTAGCATGTGTAAGTTGAGTACAAGGGCTCACGTATTAGGAGGACTATCGTATCTTCCTTCACTTCCAGATCTAGAGGAGTAACTTAGAGGATTGTTGGGTACATGTGCATGGGGACCACATTATAAATCCGTTATATTCGACATGACTATGCACCCGAAGTTCGCATCAAAGGACTCGCAGGAATCTCAGCTGGGTGCATGGACTCCATGATCACATCATCGCCTTGGATTATGGAGGATAATTTTATAGGACATGGAGAATTATCTAGACTAGATTATTGGTTCAGAAAAGTGGCTCTTCGGCTGAACCTTCGTTTTAGCTTTGGCTTTAGGTTTCTTAGCCGCCTTGGTCAGCTGGGTCTCATCAGCCTTTCTCTTGTTCTGCTGCGTCGTTCCAGCTGATTCCATTGGAGCTGGCTTGGCTTTCTCAGTCCTGATCAACTTTCAAATTACAATGCTTGATTCGATCGTGAATCTACAAGCCCTGAACTCTACGAGAAGCCCAGTCCTTCCACGCCCACGTCCCTTCCCACGCCCCTTCCCACGCCCCTTCCCACGCCCCTTCCCACGACCGGCTCCATCCCCAGCATCAGTTTCTTGCTTGGCAGCAAGAAATTCTTGGGCAACCTGCAAAGGGTTCTCGTGGTTGCGGGCTGCAGCTCGCCTGATCACAAAAGTAATGGCAGCTGCACTGGTCCGAAGCAGTAGTACAATTTGCTCATATCAATGATCATGCAGCCTGGTTACATTTTCCGTTGAACCTGCAACAGATCTGGATTCTGAATAGTCTCCTTGTCCTCCGGCTTGGAATCAATCATCTGTAGTAGCTGATCAGCATCTGGCGGATTCTGAATCAAAGGCCGCCGGTCCTGAGTTATTAGCAGCTCTGCTGGATCGATCATTCCAAAAATCGCATGCGCTGCAGCTTCGAAATGGCAAGTAGAAGTACTGTCATTCTTCGGGTGTAGGCTCTGGGGTTTAGGCTTTGGGGTGGGCTTTAGGGTTTTGGATTTTCATACGATCCAGCTGTTCTGTACATGTACATATGTACATGTAGTAAGTGCTTGCAAAGTGACGGCTGCATGAGATGGCATCGGCTCCTCCTTGACCTTAGAGTTTACTAGGGTTGGGGGTTAGAATTCAATCCAACTATTCTGTAGCAATTGCTCGCTAAGTGACAGCTGCGGGAGATTCCAGTGGCTCCTCCTTGACCTTATTAGGGTCTACTAGGGTGGGCTTAAGTTTTAGGGTTTGAGGGTTAGAATACGACCCAACTATTCTGTAGTAATTGCTTGCAAAGTGACAGCTGTGCGAGATTCCGGCGAATCCTCCTTGACCTTGGGGTTTTACAAGGGTGGGCTCAGGCTTTGGGGTTCTGGGATTAGAACATGATCCAACTATTCTGTACCATGTAGTAATTTGCAAAGTGACAGCTGCGTCACATTCCCGTGGCTCCTCCTTGACCTTAGGGTTTACTAGGGTGGGCTTAGGCTTTAGGGTTCTGGGGTTATATATATATAACATGATCCAACTGTAGTAATTGCTTGCAAAGTGACAGCTGCGTGAGATTCCGGTGGATCCTCCTTGACCTTAGGGCTTACCAGGGTGGGCTTAGGCTTTAGTTTTTTGGATGGTTCTGGGGTTTAAATACGATCTAGCTATTCTGTAGTAATTGCTGCAAAGTGACAGCAGCGTGAGATTCCAGCGGATCCTCCTTGACCTTATGGTTTACTAGACTGGGCTCAGGCTTCAGGATTTGGGGGTTAAAAATCCAATCCAACTATTATGTAGTAATAAGTGCTTGCAAAGTGACAGCTGCGGGAGATTCCAATGGATCCTCCTTGACCTCACGATCAGGGTTTACTAGGGTGGGCTTAGGCTTTAGGGTTTTGGGGTTAGAATACGATTTACCCATATTCTGTATAGTATTTTGCTTGCAAGCTGCATGCCCAGATTGCAGTGACTCCTCCTTGACCTTCGGAACCAGCGAATCCTGCAGAGCGAAGTTTGGAAAAGCTGTATTGGTTCAGGTCTAAAATTAGGGACTCCAGCAGGTGCCACTAAGTGGTGCTAGCGGTACACGTTATTCTAGCTGCTGCTGCTGCTGCTGCTGCTGTATCTACTTCTTCTACATGATGATGCTAAAACCCCCCCGAACTATGCAATCCTAGATTTCCAAAACTGGAACCCTTGCAAATACATCTGCACATGCTGTCCTCCAGAGAAAGATTCTCCGTTTTCTCCACCAAGCTGGTACAGGAGGCACCCGGGCCAAGAGCACTAGACTTTTCAGATTCAAAGCTGCCCAAAGGCGCGGGAAGCCGGGGCACATGTCCAACATCAGTCATTTCCATGCTGATTTGGGTCTCGGCATTGTCAGGGTTCATGCTGCCATAAGCCTGAAGTGATCGAGCAGAGGCTGCCTCCAAAGACATGCTGGCTACAGCTTCTGCTTCAAGAAGCGTCGCCTCATTAATCACCTCCTCCAAGGCTTCGCCATCAATCATGGCATCTAAATCCAAACCCTCATCCTCACGGTCTGCGCCCATGGCGTCGTCAGCGCCCTCTGAGTCCATGGCCTCGTCGCCGTGCTCTCCCTCCATGGTCTCACCATGCACTGCATCTGCAGCGTTCTCACCACCACCATCCTCAGGGGAACTGTCGCGTCCCGTGGCAGCGTCAGGAGCTCCCTCTGGCGCAGCTGTGGGAGCGGGAGCTGCAGGTGTATGTGCAGGTGGGTCGGGGTTGCAAACTGCCGTCAGAACATCCTTCAGGAGTTGTACCTTCGGCGACCTTACTATCTTAATTACAATGATGTGTACACACACTGCTGCAAGCGCACATGTGCACGACACATTAAGCTTTAGATAGGCCAGGGAGCCGCGACTTTGCAGGAGTTTTCCTCCAAAGCCTTACGGCGTACACACACCTTGCTCGAACCTGTCCGGCATTGTAACTGCACCAGGTCTTCCTGACCTGGGATTTGACATTGCTTCCCAGGAGGTCGTGCGCAACATTCATTCTTGTAATGGCGTCCTGAGCAACAAACTGACTACAACAGTTGAGATCCATAACCTAACAAACTTTTGCATGCACATCCATCATGGCCGCACACACTGCTACAAGGAGCACCTTAAACTTGCCGAGGTTGGGGATCGTTTGGCCAAACTGCGCCAACAATGGCGCCAAGAGCTCAACCAACTCATCAAGTGCTTGATCGCACATAAATTCGTGAGGCATCACGAAGTCTTTGTGGTCAGCCTCATCAGCATGGTCGTGTTTGATCATGAATGCGTATAGCCTGCAAAATGTGCATAACAAATCGAATGAGCTGAAGGACATCGGCCCGGCGAATCTGCGTTGCAATATTGCAATTTGGATCAATCGGGGAGGGGCTACGGAAATAGTCATCAAAGATATCTTTGATCTGCTGCAACCTCATCTCAGGGTCATGAAATCATGAAGCCAATGTGGCAAGCATGGTGCTCATGATCCTGTCATACACTATGCAACACAATCTCAATTTGACAAGGCTCTCCAAGTCAGCCGTGGCAGCTGCCATGGGGAGTTGCCAAAAACAACAGCTTCAGAAATTACCTGGGGGCCCTGACAGCAAAAGCCCACCTTTGGCCAAAATGGCCGCCTTGTGGAGCACATGCGCAAACCACGCATTCAAATGACTCCAGTCTGCAAAGGTTCGAAGCTTGCATGGAAATCTAATCTTTCAATCCCATCGCTGAAGGACCAAGATGTAACCCTGGACCCTGCACTATGCATGTCTGGCAACACAGCGAGCAGAGAGGTGGTCGTACCTGCTTTCAACCGTGCCCGCAGCCCCGCGCGCTGCATTGTTTGACTGAAACATGTCTTCTCTACTATCCAGCTACACCTTGCTTCATGAAGGTATTAGGGTCTAGGGATTAAGTTTCAGGTTTTAGGGTTTAGGATTTTAGGTTTAAGGTCTATAAGCTTCTTGTTCTAAGCTTACGATGAAGCTTGATTCTTGCAGGTAAGGGCTGTTTTAGACCAAAGAAACTACAATGCGGAACCAGTTCCCAGAACCGTGTCTTTACTTCTTTCAGTTCTGGTCTAGAGCCGAACTGAGCCGGTTACCACACATATGCGTAAACGGACGCATCGGGTTAAGTCACCATCATATGGGTATATGGGGTTTGGGGTTTAGTTTAGGGCTTAAGTTACCATAATAGGGGTATACGGTTGCTAATAGGGTTTCCTTGTTATAGTAACATATTCTAAGTTTCCAGTAACTTAGCTTAAGTTCCTTAGCTTAACAGCAACCCAGTCAAGGCAAGGTAGAGGAGCCTGGAATGGAGCTACTGCCCCATGCAGCTAAGCTGGGCTATTACGCCTGGAAGCCCTTGGTGACACTCAGTCCAACACTTCCCTAACGGAGTTATAGGGGGACATACAGGGGTTATATAGGGTTTAGGGATTCCCCAACCTGGGGTACGGGGTACCTTTCTTGGGGGCCATGATCTAGGATTAAAGTATGTTGGGGTCTATATTGGGGCCGCGTTGTTTCTGGAAGCTACTCTTTAGGGATTTAGGTTTTAGAGTCTAAGTGGCTTTCGGCTCAGGTTTAGGATCTAGGGTTTAGAGGCTTCGGGAAGTCATGCAGTCTTTCCCCTCCCCAACAAGTCAAATTTGGGGGATAATTCAAGCTTAGGGTTCGCAATTTTCAGTAGTTCTGGGTGTTGAGCGCTGATGCAAAGAAACGGCTAGAGAACAGCAGGCCTGATTAGGTTAGAGTTCCATAACAGTATTCTTCTGCAAGGCCTATAGAGCTTAGTGTACAGGATTCAGAAGGTCTCGGATTTCCGGGGAGTTTCCTTCTTGGGTCCTTAGTATTTCTCATATGCCTACCAGCTTCACCAGACAAGCCCTCTCACAGAAAGATAGAAGCTAAACCCTAAACCATCCTAAACCCTAAAGTCTGTGAATCAAAGCGAAGCCTTGGAATCCTTTCCTCTAATATTAACCCGCCAATATTACATCACAAATCCAAACATGGAGGTTTCCTGTAATTGTGGGTACCATTTTGGGGGTCCCAATAATAAGGGTTATACTATATTAGGGTCTATATTGGGGTCCCCTTATTTTGGGAAACTACCAAGTATTACATCACAAATCCAAAAAAGATTCCTGAAGCGCATTTGACAGGGGAAGACCACTCTCAAAAGGAGCCACCTTATAATGAAGGGGGCTCAGAAGAAGGAATCAGAAAGAATTGCGGGTCCCCTTGATTTCCCAGGTTTCTTGTTTATATGTGTATACATACATATATATATATGTAGTTTTTTTGCCATGTCAAAGGAGTTCGCAAAATCAAATGCGATTTCATCTGCTTCCACTTGATTCCAATACTACTCCATCGATTCTACTGAATTTTTAAGTATGTTCTGATTTGATTTCAATTGATTTTAATGTGACTTGAATTGGTTTTGCTGATAGGTTCCAATTGCTTGGTGATTGAATTTTAAAAGGATTTCAACTGATGCTCACATGGTTTAAGTTGACTTCAACTGATTTCAGAGACGCACGGAAGGGATCA